ATGTGTCATTCTTCTCTATCTCGTATGCGAGAGGCTGTGTTTATGTGGCTATGTGCGGATGGATGCTCGTCGTATGGCTGGGTGAACGTGATGGCAGAGGATTAATTTGCTTCCAAAATATATCGTCGTTACACACTAACACGACGGTTTCGAACTGGCTATTCATGTTGGATGATAATATCGCACCCAACAACATCGTGCCTACCGTTGGATCTAGCGGATTATTCTCTGCAAATGTTAGGTCAAATCGCACGATTGGATCAACAACATTTACTCTTCAATTTCATAAAAATTTCTATTTAACTCTAGGATAGAGACTGTCAAACTTTTGCTGATCTTTTAATTACAACTTCAACATGAAAATCGATAATTCTCCAATAGTTTCTTTTTTCTTACTATTTATTCGAGTTGATTGACGTCTATTAAGACGTACTGCTCGAAGACAAGGGTGGAATTAATCCTTGCATTTGATGTAATACATTTCTGTTTATTGGAAAATATTTTTAATTCGAATTATTTAGAAATAAATAATTATCTAAATTGCTTTGCTTAATTAAATTCAATGGTAAGTTGTAATGTTATTTAAAAAAATTCAACAAAATGGATTAGCTATCAATTAATTTAATAATGTGAGAGACAATTCTATCTTTTTTTTTAGTTTAGATAAAAATGTTTTTTCGTTATTGGATTCTATTGTTTTCAATTTTTTTTTTGTTTTTAATTAAATAATCAATGTAGAAATTAAATGGTATCGCTTGAGTTAAAAAATTAAAATTGTACACGTATTTTGAAAATCAGAAAATTACAACAATTGACATTTTCACTCTTGGGAATATGTATATTTGCACAAGCACACAAATACAATAAACTATTATTGGCATTCAACATACATATAGAAATTCTAGAAAATAGAAATTACCTATTCTATCCACTCTGTACATATTTGTATTCAGGACAATACATATATATGCTCAATTTTCGTCATCAGAAAAATCTAAATAATTAATACAAAAGTCAAAATCTCATCTAAATTGTTTAGGTAAAATTCATTCAAGTTAAGATCTAAATCATTTTTTCTTATTCAAACTAAAACTCTTTTGAGTTCTATCATCTTATAATGGAATATAAATATTTTAAATTGGATCTCAAAAATCAGTTAACGAATGAAAGAAATAGATTTACTTTTTACAAAATTTGATAGTAATGATAGAGAAGATTGTAGTAAGATTGAAACAGTTGGAAAAAAAGTAAAGCATTTACAACACTTTTATGTAAATTTAGAAGATAATGATTTAAAAAAATCGATTATATCATTACATTCCAATTTTAATTTCTTTAATTTATTTCTATACTTAGTTTAATTCGATTGAAGCTTTAATAGTGCGCTCTGACGCTCCTTTGGTCTTCGACCTTTGCATCCATCGGAGCGTGAATAAACCTGAATACTGTCTCTACTCTCGTCTGACGTTAATGTGTGTACATAGTTTCTCTATGTATGTGCAAGTTGGCATAGCTCTGCAAGCTCAACCTTCTCCAACCAATTTTCAACGGACGATCGATCCTTCAGGAGTTTACGTGCGAGCAAAAGACGCCGGATACATCACACTACCAGGAACTAGAGACATGGACTTCTAAAGGTAAAAGGAGAAAGAAAGGAAAAAGGTAGAAAGGCAATTATGTGTCTACCTTCGAGCAAATCTGATCAAATTTTTGTTCAGCTTTTATTAAACCGAGTGTCAACTTTGTGAACCAATTTTCAATATTTTCTCTTGTGAGAGAAAATAAGATGAAAAAATAAACACGAAAAAAATTGATTCTTTCTAAGAGGAATGAAAGTAATAAACATTTTTTAAGTTAATTTAAATGGATTTATGAAAGAGCAGAGCGTACCTAATATATCCGTGAGAGTTTAGTTTGTTTATTATTTAATCACACGAGTACTGTTTTGAATTACTTTTTTTCAATTAATGATATTCAAAGTAACTAAGCTTTATAGATAAAATCAGCTCAGAAGATGGATTAGTAATTAAAATAAAAAATAGATTAAAATTCACACGTAATTGAATTTTTTAAATATTTGAACAGATAATTATTATTTAGAAAAAGAATTGAAATTTCTTTTTACTTGTTTTATTGATATTTGTGATTTATGTCTAAGTCCAGTTACTTCAATTAGTTTTATTGGATAAAATTAAAGACGTAGAAGAATTTGATTAAGTTGAAAAATCACGAAAAAATTATTAATCACTATTTTCAAGTTCATTGTAACTTCGAAAATTTCCAAGTTAGATAAAAGTTTTTTTATGTTACAGAAAGTACTTATAACTTGATTCAAGTATTAACTTAATTGAATTAATAAGAAATTTATCTAAAATATTGTTTATTATATTAAATTTATGACTTATTAATTGATGAATTCTTTCTATACAACTTTTTCATTACTAACCATCCAATTAATTTATTTATTATTTAATAATTTTATTTTTCATCTCAACAAATAATTATCAAGTAGTTGTAATTTTGTCATATTTAAATATATTTTAACACAACGACAAAACTTTTTCAATTTTGGTTTCAATGCATTTATTAAATATGAAACAAATTAAATATCAACAGAGAGTTTTTAATCAAAGAAATTAATTAGATCTGAGAAATAAAATTCTAGTTGTTCTGACTTTACGTAATTAATTTTTCATTCAATGTAATGAAATATTTCTAAATATAGGTAATAAGTGAGGAGAACTTGAATGAAAAATAATCTCACAAATATTTACTGAGATGTGTTTACATACAAAAATGTAAAGTAAATAATGTAATTTTTTATCGACTTATAAAGCCTTTCATTAAGAATTAAGGCTATTTTATCCCAAGAATTACTGATCATCTCTTGCTCATAAAATTTGAAAAGTTAATTTATTCAAACTTTATAAAATAAACTTTGCATATTACGATCGCAACTTTTTTAATCACGTAAGTAGATGTTTCTATAATAATAAAACTTTCTTCCTTTGTATATAAGAAAAGAGCTAAACTGTCTTAAGTAATAGCATAAAATAAATTTGTTACAAAAGACATTTTACACATTAACAATTTAAAATTTTAAGATTCATTTTCATATTTGATAAATCAATTCATACTTTAAGTATAATATCATATTCAAATTAGTCTCGACTAAGTTTCCCAAGCAATTTCACTCAGATGGATATGAATTGATATGAATTACTTCGCTATCAAGAAAATAAGTGAAAAGAAAAATTTTCAGTCATACATTAGGCTAAAATCGATTGAGTTCTCTTACTCTTTCTTACTTTTTGTAAGATTTATTCATTCGAGAATTCTACCATCAGGTGTTTCTCTTCGTCTTCCAGTGGTCGATTGATCGTACAAAATCCACCTAAACTTGACGATGCACCATTACAACTCGAAGCCTCCAAAGCAAGGTAGATCGAGTTCTAAACGTTCAACGGTAAATTTTCATGGATAACTTCCAAGAAGACCAGCTGGTCTAATTCAAGTACCTAATTGACCCTGGCACTTAGAGTATCTGATATAATTGAACTACTCAAATTACCTCTTCTATTTTATCAGTTAAAAAATTCTTTCCTCTACAAGTTTCAGCCTTTATTTGCTTTTCTCATAAAAAAAAAAAATTATGATTAGTTTGATCGTTTGAGATAAAAATTACCAATGATTTTCTCTATAATTATAAAAGCACTTATTGTAAAGAACTGTCAATATAATTAGCTCGATTAATTAACTTTTCTATGATAATGCTATTGAAACAATTTTATCATTGATATATTGTATTTATTAGGCATGTTAAATGTGAAATAAAATAATATTATTTATTATGATATTATTATTAATTAAAAGTTTTAATAATAGTATTATGCAAATCATTGACAGTACGAATTGAGTATTAAATTTTTCACTTGTGGAATGAAACTCATCAACTGAGAAAAATAAATTTCCTTCTTAAACAATAAGAAAGATAATTGAAAAATACCTCACATACATTCTACTACAAAATTAAACTTTTCGAAAGTTTAAAAATGTAGCATCTGAGAAAAATTCTTGCTGATGAAATAATAAAGATGTAAGTTCCGAGTTGTTTTGTAAATTTTTCAAAGTAAACAAAAAAACATGTAAAAAAGGGAAATTGTGGGAGCCAGAAAAGCTTTAAGTCTGTCTTGTCTTGGAGTTATTTTAAGAACGTAGATAGGAGCAACGTGTAGACATGCAGGTGAGAGTGCGAATCTCAATGTATTTGCGTGTTATTGAGGGGAAGTGAAGTAGAGTGAAAGAGCAAAAAATCCCCAAAGACTTTCTTGGACAACGTGGGAGATGGAAGTGAACACATACACCAGGGAATAAGAAAGCCATATATGGAAAAGACTGAAAACACTCGGATTTCTGATCTTTCTCCTGTCTGCGGAGTTAAATAAAGTCGTAACGTTCAATAAAGTATATAACTTGAAAGAACTGCATCTCTATTAGATATTTTATGAGACATTTATAGTGCTGCAGCTATTGAGATATTCACATAAGAAATAGATAGATAAGGATGAATTTAAGTTGGAGTTTAATCAAGTAAGTGTGGATCATGTATGACATAGATAAAAATATTTTTAAGTTGTCTGATTAGAATGTACTTAGTCCCCTTCTTAAATGAAAGTAGCACGGGGAGGTGAATGCGATGGATGAAGGCGCGTGTCTATGCGTACGCGCGCGTGCCGGAGGATAGTGGCCCCGTGGAAAGCAGGGCAAGGGTGGCAGCAGCCTCCGCTTGCTCTCAAGGGGTGTCGAGAGAACGAAAGAGAGAAGAGTGTTGGTGGCAGCGCCGGCGCGGCAACGATGTGGGTGCGAAGAAGCAGAGGTTGAGTGGTAGTAGGGTCGACGCGACGTACTGAGGGTGGAAGGGGGTATGACGGCGGTTTATGCGCGTGCTCCGTGCGCCGGCCGGGGTAACCGTGAGGGTCGCCACTCCCGAGCGCGGCGTAGCGCGGGTGCGACCGTCCGAGAGATGTCCAGTGGAAGGATCAAAGTGAAGAGGAGCGACCGGCAGACCGGCGGCGCCAAACAGGCTTCCGCTTTATAGGAGAGGACCCCAACGAGGCCCTGCCGCGAGTGGGCCCCGAAAAATAACCTCCCCTCCGGTCCCATCGTTCCCCTGACCCCAGTGTAACGTCCCCAGGAGAAAAATTTCCATAAGTATCAGCTGTATTTGATAAATCAAGTTCAAATCTGGCTAAAGTGACATTCAGTTGATCCTGTGCACGAGTTACAGTGTTGGTGAAAGTGGAAAAATCAAAGTTCTTTCACGAAAAATACTACCAGTAGCTCTGGCAATAGTCAGCCAGGAGCCAACTTCCCACATCTGGGAAGTAGGCATCCTTTTTGTGTCAACGGAGGACCAAGTGAGGACCTTAATACTAAGCAAAGTTGGTGCTCGTGACAGTGGAGCAGCAGGACGAAAACGTGAAGGTGGTTGAGAGATACGTGAGAGCAAGCAGGAAGTGTGTGAAAATATTTCGAAACAGCTAGACAGATTGGGAGAACCCTCTAACCTGCTCTCCAAGTCAACATATTGACAGTCATCTACGTTAAGAAGCATGAAGTCTTACGCAGCATCATGGAGCTGTGCGCTCCTAGCAGCTACCGTCGCTCTTCTACCTGCCACACATCGCTCACCTTTCGTGCATGCCGCGTAAGTAACTTGTACACCAAATATATATATCAATATGAAATTCTCCACCAACATTGTTGACGATAACTTAAGTTAGGTTAGCATGTTTGTTCAGCACACGTTGACAGGTTTAGTTGAAAGCAATTGTTTCTAAACTCTGTCTGACAAGTCAGTTATTGTAAACCCACGAGGGTTGCACCATTCGACTCCAAGTATGACTGACTTGCAAGGTAAACGAGGGTTCGAACATAGTCAAGTGATACTGCATAATTTCCTTGCGATTTCGTGTCCTGTTTTGGACAGCTTTGAAACCTCTCTCGTTTCCAAAGAGTCTCAACACAATTATCCCACACTAATACCAGAAATGCTGTGGTTTTATTCTTTCCTAGTATCTTGAAGCACCAAACAGAAAGCTTTAGTAGCAGTTTATCGAAGCGAATATTTGAAAAGCAAATAGGACTTCTTTTTGAGTCTTGAATTCAACCTTTCCTAGATATATTACCAGTCCACAACTTTGATAACAATGGCTTTGACATTCTGCATAGACTATCAGTTTCGTGACTTTCAACTGCATAAAAGCATCACTAAAGTATCTGTCTTTCTTCTCTATATGTCTCTCTATCTCTCTCTTACTTACCACATTCAGTAAATCGCAGTTTCCCTGTCATCGCTATACCCAGTGAGTGTGATCCTCGATAATCTGCGTTTCCACAGTACCTGATGGTGTCAATGATCCTACCACTGACTAATACAACTAGAGTGTCCTCTTGCGAATTGATTGGCGTGGATTGGTTTGAATGTACTAACACCTACTCTTCCCTACTAATTGGTTGTCCACAAATCCGCACGCAAATGTAATTCTGTTGAAAAGTCACTTGTTTCTTATGATCAATAGATGAAATTGCTATCTCTTTTGTGAGTTTCAATTGGAACTTTTGAGAGACAAACGTTTAACTGCAACCACTGAGGACAACTTTCACATGGGAGCTTTTCACAGTATTTGAAGCACCAGTTTTCTCTTTTCATTTTTTTTTCTTTCTCATTTTCTCTTTTTTTTCGGCCCTCTCCCAGTATCCCAGTCGGTCCAGCGATTCCGAAAGCGTCGTCATCCCTCGGCGCGGTCGCGAATCGATTTCGGGTGAACGTGGGCGTGCGTGCCAGAGTGTTTGTTGTGGAACGAACGGAAAGCCTCTTTCTATCTCATTCCCGCGTTCTCTCAATACTTCCGTCTCTGTTCGGCCAAAGCACATCATGCGCATCGGCACAGTAAACAAATGTATGCAAAGCAACGAGCAGCAACCGTATACTCAGTAGTTCACCAATGTAAAATCGTGTTCTAGAATCGGTGATAACCCTATCCTAGCAACCATTAAAGTAATTAAGCTTGGCCAATGCAATTTCTGATGATCCGGCAGTCAAAGGATATTTGGTCGTTGACACTCACGAAAATTCATGTAAATACCAGAAATATCAGTTTCAACGATCTTTATTGGTTATTTGTTGATTCTGGGTGAGAATTAATGTTTACAGAATCACAAAATAATTTATAGTAAATATTCTTTTAATTAACTACCTCATTTTATTGAATTTACGTCGAAAGAATCATATTCATTGATTTGTTTTTGTTGAGAAAATTACTGGAGTTAAGATGTTTCACAGAAAAGAGCATAATCGAATTTTTATGGAAATCAAAAAGTTGTTTCGACTTCTGAATGGACTTTTTTCAATAAAATATATTCAATTATTCATTCTATAAACAGTTCTATTTTCCACCATGTAAAAATACATTAACGTTATATCCCTCATTCTATAGCAATGTGTATATTTCGAACGTGTCTTTAGGTCAAGAACTTTCGATATAGAATGACTTGCATCTTTAATTCATTAGAGATATTTTCATTCTTGTTCGTGCGTAACATTGCGTGTCTAACGCCATTCGGGAATACGATCCTCGTGGTAAATCGTTTGGTAAATCAAATCATCGTAAGCGTCTGATGAATTTCTTAATTAGTACGCTGTCACTCATTGTAAACATGTGACTGAATTACTATTTATAAAGTTAAACATCAAAGATAGTCACGCAGTGTGAAACAACCACTTACATAATTTACAACTGTTCAAAGATGCAAACGTTATTTGCTAAAGTCTAAACGCCAAAAACAAGTGGTTCATTGAATCAACATAATATCCTGTTACGACGAAACTCTACTTTGTGAAGGTTATGCTAAAGATACAGGAATTGTAAATTTGAAAGGAAACCACGACATTTGAATAAAACTTTAGTTTCAGTATACAACTATCTACTCAATAATGCCTTTTATCCTATATTAATTATTAAGTGTTTTTTAAAAGTAATTTAATTACATCCAATGTTTATTAAAAATTATTGGAATAGAAATTTTTAAATAAAGAATAACTTCAAAAAACTCCCATCAAAAATGATTTTTTAAATGTATTTACTTGTTTATATTTATTCATAATACCGATAAAAATTTCATTAAATTTTATTGTGAAAAATAAATGAATATAATTATCAAAATATCTTCACTGATCTGTGAAATATAAAAATCAATCTCTCAAAAAATTTTTGTATAAATAATTTATGTTTAAAAAGGTCACAAAGATTACTCCTAATTTTTTAAAAATAGAGGTTTGTATGACCTTTTAGAAAACAACTATAAAAAAATTTTAAAATACTTGTATTCTATTTCTAAAGACCTTTTGAAATTAATTCATCAATAAATAATCATCGATGCATATTATAATTCATTTCTATTGCCTAAATTGTATCATCTAGATATTTAATTATTTAAATTCATAGATAATAAAATGAATTAAATAAAAAAGTTTCAATTTTTTCAAAGACATTTTAAAGTGCATATATAATTTATGAACAGGAAAAATTTACTTTACCCTTAGAGTTTCGATACTTGAGAAACTTTTTCTACCTTCACCCAATAGTATAGTCTGTAAAAATACATGAACATCCACATCTAGATCTCTGTATCAACCTTCGTATCATATATACATAAAACTACATATCACCGTAAAATTTTTTTAGAAAACGTAAAAACTCTGTCCTAAGAATATACGTATACATATATGTGTCGACAGACTGGAAAATTTCTTGAAAGAAACACTAAGAGTTGCTGGTGAAGTAAGGGAGAAAAACTTTAACGTCCAGAATTATTGGTACTTACAATTGCAAAGTTTGAAAGCAACTTCACTGTTTCCATCATCTTTTTCTTGAGGTACATTCAAGCTATCTCTTCATGCAATACACATAGCAGAACAATGATCAAAGTCACGTGGCACCGTTGAGTATACACATTTCCTTTAGCTACCATCAATCCTATAATCCTATTAACTTACAGATATCGATTATAAACAGTAAATTGCACTCTGTTATTGTGTCTCATGTCCCCACTCAATATGACCTCATTTCATCACAAAAAACCCCCAAGTCGTTTGATCCCCTTTTTCTCAAAAACTCGGTTATGATTAAATTACGAAAGGAAAAAATTTCTTAAGCATATTACTGTTTATTTATAGCCAAAAAAAAAAACTAAAGTAAATTGAATTTAGAAGCATTTTTTATGATATCAAAATGAAGAGAAAATTTTTTTTGCTCAATAAAGTAGATTTGAAAGAAAAAAAAACATTAGATCAGTTTTAAAATGAGTTGAGGTGAGAAAAAAAGCTATTAAAATTTTTATCTAGTCAGTGCTGAACTTGTTTACTTAGAAAATCGATTAGAATGATACGGTAGTTCAAAATTTCGAGATCTAGATGCAGTTCTTCCCTCAAGTCATAGCTACTGGCAGCCAACTTTATGGCTCTTCTTACCCCTTACATCTACTTCTCTTGCCACATCTCCAAAGCATGGAATACCACCGCACGTGATTCGCTTTAACTAGATTTTCTCTCGAACTCCCGTGCATTTATTGCGACTTGGTGCTTAAATCGACGCAGAGAGCGCCACAAAACGAGAGAGAAGTTATGAATTCCAGAGGCGTTCACGTGAGAACTCCCAGATCCCCTAATCCTTGTGTTCAATGAACGCCGGGTTAATGGTTTTCAATAAAACCTTGCGAAAATATCAATTTTAACTTTTATGAAATATTGTGTGAATATTAATACCAAATTGACCTCTCGAGTCAAAATAAGTATTTTTTATTGGCCAATAAAATGTTCGATCAATTGGATGGCTTTTATGTTTGTTCATAGAAATATAATCTTTTTCAGTTTCACAAACTTTTTTCATTTTGGAGAGAAACGATTCTGTATTGTTTATTGTTCAGTTCAGCCAATATTTCATTTGATTATTAATCTATAAACGGATTTTTCAATAATTTTTTCGCAATTAATTTAGAAAAATAATTTAAAATAATGATGAATATTCACCAATATTTTTATGATAAACTTGAATTATATATATTCTTTGTATAAAAATAAATATTCTTTTTAGTACCTACTAATAAATAAATACTTAAAAATTCGATGATTAAAAATAAATATTACTTTACGAAGAGCATTGCTATCTAGTTGAGACAATTGAAAATTGATGAAATTTTTATTTTTATCGCTTTTCAACTGTTCGAAAACAAAAATAAAGATTTTAATCAATTAACAGACATTCAATTTAAACAAATACGATCTTAAGAAACTTCTTGTAATTTTGGAGGATGAAATTTTATTTTTTACTCTATAATCTCATCTTGTTGTCGCTGCATGCAGTCTATTTTCATCCCCAATATCCTTGAATCCTTTCAAACATCAGGGGTGACATCGATTGTCGATAAAAGATTACCAAGGGAGTCATAAAGGGTGTTTCTACCTTTTTTTGTTACTTTTATTCCCTCCCATTTTCTTTTCTTTTCATTATCGAGTTGTCTTGGTCGAGCGATTATCAATATTTACGTTTCTGTCTTCCACCTGTTTCCTTTTTTATACCCTTGCCTTTCTGACGCTCTCTACAGTCATCTGGGAGTATCAAACAAGCAAAAAGTCCACATTTACTG